ATGATCCGCCTAGAAAAGAAAAATCTAAAACAACTGTTGAACGATTCAACCAGGCATAACCAATTTCTAGACGACAACCATTTTGAGAACGAACTGGTTCAAATTTACCTGAGTCAGAACTTCATTTTCTTTATTATCTTCCCTTATGTAATACTCCGTTATTTTTTTTGGACTAATTTAACCTGAAATAGAACTTATGGATGGAATAACCGAACTTTTGTTTGACTTGAAGGCCAAAAACGTGGCTGACAGTATATAAGGCCATCAATAGCCTTGTAAATACCATTTACTTGATTAAGAATATATATATTGGGCCAAACTTTAGATTAAAGGAGGAAATAAGTGGGCCAACCCCACTTCTTAGTGTTCCTTACTTTACAGAGCCTTAGAATTGTTTAACGGAAAAAAAACAAACTTTATATTAAAGAAGGAAATAAGTGGGCCAACCCCACTTCTTAGTGTTCATTACTTTGCAGGGCCTTAGAATAGCTTAAGGGAAAAAAAATTAAACCTTATTAGCTTTGGAATCAAATTAAGAAAAATAAGAAAGACTTACTTGTGTTTGGAGGTCGCGTTAAGGATTAACAAAAAAGAACAATTGTTTGATATGTTGCTTGGGTCATTATTGTTTGAGGAGTTTGAGGATACATAATTGGCGCTAGCAGAGAGCTAGAAAGCTTGGAAATTTTGCTTGTGCAATTCAACAAATAATTAGGTATGTAGATATATAATCTTATCCTTATAGCATGCCTTGGATTACATTAGGATTAATGTGGATATCAAATTCTTTAGAATGATGACAAGAAGTAAATTGAAAGCAATTTGATAAATTCTAAACCCATTTGAGTTGCCGCCAAGTTTTTGAGATTGGGAACATGACTAGAAATATTAAATAATGGAGAAATTATTTTCATCTAGTAATGGACAAAACTTTAAGGGTAAAACGAGGAGTATTTGGAATATTATTATGGTCATAGGTTTTGGATGGTGTTATTTAAGTATGGACATGTAATATTTTTGATATTAACATATGTTTCTTCCTCTCCATAAACCAAGTGGTCAAGGATATTGTAGCAGTAAGCTTGACAGAGAAATACAAATATTTTTTTTTCACATTATGCACTGATTATATTGAGTAATTCACGATTTAGAAATTAGTTCAATTGGTGGTGAATAAAACTTGTTGAGTATGTCTTGATGATTCTAGCTTAAATATTTGTAGATCGTGAGTTGTTGAACTCCCAGGAAGTTTGAAAGGATGAATTGAAGCTAAGACTTGAGGTGAGTTGAGGTTTACTTTCCTAGTAGGGAATTCCATTAGAACCCTTGTGCTCTATATGCTAGATAAAGCTAAGTCATGTATTCTCGTGATCCAACACTCAGTTCACTTATTCTTATTCAATACGACATTATATGTGACATGAATACATGCTTATGTGTATTACCAATTGTTATGTGTCTTTATTTGTGATATTCACATTCAGTTAAGTATTCAGTTTCAACATTAATTCATGCATCAATGTGAACACATTCAGTAGGGAGAAGTGGCCAACCTCCCCCAGTGTGAGTGTCATGATGTCAAGGTTACCTACCCCATGCTTGTAGGTGCCAACTATTTATTGGGGAGATAGGCCGACACTCCCCGTACGTGTTCCCAGATGCTCACGTACGTAGGGCCATTATGCGTAATATTTTTTAGCAAAGTTTTGTCTTATATATATATATATATATATATATATAACTCAGTTTCTATTTTAGATATCAGTTATGGATTCAATTTCTACGTTAAGTTTTAGTTTTAGCTCACAGTTTAGCGTATAGTTCAGTTTCCAGCTTATGACTTGGTTGTAAAATTTATTTGATTTTTCCGTATATGCGTTTTCTTTCTTATTTTTCCTAGAAGGTCTCGCTCCGCCTTTTTAGGAGGTAGCCTACGAGACTTACTGGGTATCGTTTGGTGGTACTTAGCCCGTTTGGGCCTGCTACATCGTGTAGCAAGTATTGAGGACGCAGGTAACGAGGCACGTGGCTAGAAGAGATATTCTAGATTCAGTTTACAGACTCCGTTGATTCATCCCAGCAGTAGTGGATCCTTTTCAGACTATTATTTATATTTTTTTTACGTTTTTTTTTATTTTCGGGGTTTGCCCCCGTAGGCTATGTATTTTAATTTTTTTTTATTCTAGAGGTTCATGACTGGTTAGTGGTCAATATTAAAATATTTTGGAATTTATCCTTTATATATTATATTTTATCAGTCAGCTTAAAAAATACAATTTGATTAGAATTAATATTTAAGCACGTTAGTTTCTTTGCTATTGAACTTGGAGTTTGATACAAATAGTACACGATTAACTCAACGAGTGATAAGGGTTGAGTGCCAATCACGTCCAACCTAGTTTGGGGGCGTGACACCTTCCATCAAGAATGTCTTACTGCAAACTTGCAACGTATCATTTAAATTAGGGGGCACGATATATTAGCACTTGGCTTTCCAATAAATTGTTTTATAGCTTTGCTTGTGCTCTTCTTTGGAATTTTGTTAATCAAAGTCCAATCTTGTGGACTTACGTTGCTTCTCTTCTATCACAATGACAAAGATATGCCCCCAAAAGATTAATCATACTATCATCTCATGTAATCTTCGTATTCAGTTCTAGCAAGGAAATGCTCACCTTTACGCTTCTAAAGAAAACAAAAGCAGACGTTTTCTTTCAGATACACAAAATTTCCGAACTGCCCTGTGTAACTAAAAGCAATATCACGTCCAGTACCCTTAAGTAGTAAGCTTGGCCCTAACAATGAGAGCACCCAGAGTCGGATCCAGGATTTTACGAGGATGGGTGCACCATTACCTGACCACCGTTTGATTTGGTCCTCTAAAATTTTACCATGAACTAACTATAACTTGACAAGTAAAGAACATTCAATATTGTTATTACAAAAACTTATCATTCCATAGGCAAATATCAATAAATAGTTTTCTTACCTCGGAGAACTATCAATGATAACATCGTTATTTATAGTTACAAATACTAAGTTCGATATATTAAAATTAAATAACTAATCAAAAAGAGAGTGGTAAATGAAAAAAGAGAGAACTTGAAATTGAAAAGATTCAAATTAATTTAAATTTCATTTTTAGAGGTTTTGAAACTCAATGATTGAACCAAAAAAGAGAATGAAGAAAACACAATCCAATAAAAATAAAATTTTAATTTAAGGATATATCAAAGGATGAACCCAAAAACAGAAGAATGCGTAGAAAAAAAATATAGAAAACAAAAATAGGACATGAGATTTGAAGGAACTGGAATTCGAACACTAGACCTAGGGATCAATGGTGCACAAATCTACCACTGCACCAAATGCTCTTTTGACCATGGATTCTCACATGAAAAATTAAATAGTTTATCCGAAAAATACCACTGTAATACACGGTCTAGGGAGGGGAGCATTGGTTCACGTACCCCATGCCCCTCCGCGTGGATCCGCCTCTCAGAGCACCATGGCAAAATACTCATTACTAGGTTACTAGCCGAATACTCATAGTTGGTAGTTCAACTTTGTGTTTGTCACTTTTTTTATATGTAAAAGTCTTTAAACTTTGTGTTCATTTTTCAAAAGTCACTTTTCTATCTTTTATTACACAATTTATTTTACTTTGCTCTAGTTATCACAAAATTTACCTTGGCAAGATTCTATAATACTTTTACTTGAAAAGTCTGTTAGCCCTTGACATTATAAACCCCCTCTTAGTTATGTAATACCTTCTACATTATATACACAATATAATATATTTTTACCTAAGTATTTTACTTATAATTCAAGTAACTTTATATTATTTTTTTATAATATATACGTAATTAGTTTTTTCATGGCACTCTATTTGTTTAATCATATTCAATAAAATATAAAAATGATAAAAAATATTTATTTGAAATAATAAAACCATATTTATTTAACAAATGATATAATAGTTTTTTAAAGCCAGTAAAATTTTTAAATAAATTTCTCAGATATTTGTGTTTAATATTAAGTTTTTTAAAGCTTTATCTATTAATATTATTTATTTGAAAGTATTAATCTAATGTGTCAGTGTGGTAAATGTGGGTATTTTGTTTATTGAATTAACGAATATGGCTTGGCTGAAAAATCTATGAGCTTTGATTTTATAATTTTCATTAAAAATATTTCATTAGGCATGGTTAAGAAAGTTGACTTGAGATTTGTTCACAATAATGTTACTGACATTAATAATGCTACCTATATATCTTAAAAATTAACGTTAAGAAAAAATTACATGCACAAATATATTATAAAAATAATTAATAAATGAACTTTAAATTATTTTAATTATAAGTAAAATACATAGGTAAATATATATTATATAATATATATATAGAAGATATTACATAAATGGGGGATTTATAATGTCAAGGGCACGATAGACTTTTCAGGTAAAAGTTTTATAAAATCTAGTCAAAGTGACTATTGTAATAACTAGAGCATAGTAAAATGATTTTTGTGTAAGAAAAAAAATGACTTTTAGGTAATGAACACAAAATTAAATGACTTTTACGTAACAAAAAAAAGAAAAGTGACTTTTGGGTAATGAACGCAGATGATGAATGACTACACATAAAATTTAACCCCCAAGTTTTATTCTTCGGCCTGAAGAACCAATTCTAAAGTAAAAGAAATAGAAAGGGCCATAGACCAGTGAAAATAACAGCACATCAGATGATTTTGCCATGACCAAGAGAGGATAGAGCTCATCAACCCTGATA